TCCCGCGGTCGGCTCGTTGGCCAGGGCAGCCTACGCGGGAAGAATGGACAATGAACGCCGATCACTCGAACGAGCTAATTACATTTGCACGAGCGAACCGTTCCCAGTTTCCTCTTTCATCCTCCTTCGTCCTCTTTCCAACGGAATAATCGAATGGACGTCTGCTAGTAGAATCGGGCAAAATTTAATCTGATCGCATGGCGGGACTAATGATCGAACCGCAACTTTTCGTTCGACTGCAACTTACTAACGGTGATCATTAATTAGGACCTTCGTCGGCTCAGTTTCGGTCGCGGATTAATCGAAGGTCGTTATTACAAAGACGTGTTATCGAATGTTACATTTGAATCGTCGTTAATTGCGCGCAGTCGGATTATACTTTGCCCAATTCTCGGAAGAGCGTACGTTGCAGTTTAGAAAAGTAGGGAAACGTGGAAATAATTGATTGTAGAGATTGGAGAAATTAGGTAGATAATGGTGTAACCCTTAACGGAGCAACGTCGTACAAGCGGCATGACATTTTTATTATTTTCGTCTCTGTTATTGTTGCAATATTTACAATTCACGCGTCGAGTATTGTGCCACGTATTTTCCGGCGGTGGGTGAACTTGAGGTACTCCCGGTCCGTTAAGGGTTGATAGAGAGAAAATCATTTATTCGTTGCGAGCGTGAAATGCGATACAAAAACGATCGTTAACGGTGATTCTTCAATCTGTCGGAGAGCGTCTTTCGTAAAGTTTGCAGCGTACGCACTCTTCCCAGACGCTCGTTCAATTTTTGGCACGAGCCGCGCGATCCGAGCGGCGGGGGTGCGTCTCGGGGTCGCCGAGAACCTTCGAGCGCCGTTCTCGCCGTTATTAGCCGTAATCGAATCGAACTCCCCGATACACGCGGCCGACACGCGACTTTAATCGCGCCAATTAGCCGACACGCTCGGTTAATGAACGGTACAAACATTTTAACGTTCGTCCGCGCCGGTCTCTCGCCTCGACCTTTCAACGGCCGCCGGAAGATAGCCGGCTGTTTTCTTCGTATTGGGATCCGAATCGATAGTTCGTGAAAGAGGCTAACTCACGGGAAGCTCGGCTGTAAGAAAACTAAGTAATAACAAGCAAAGAAGTGTTAGTAATTAAGGAAATTTGAAAGAGAAAGAAATTTGAACTTTCAAAGCATTTTTCCCGGAGAAGAATCGTAATTAACAGAAGACTCGGTAGCTCGAAGAATAAGTTCGAGAACCTTTCCCTTAGAGGCGAATTGTACTAAACAAAAGAATAGTTGCAAAAATCACTTTGAATACTTCTCTCAGGAAAGGAATGAATAATTCTTAGGAAAACTCGCATTTTCAGGAGAATCATACGTCGAAACCGTTCTCGCGGTAGATAATGAATTACACGCGAATTCCATAAGTTAATCAATTTTCCTCCGGTATTTATTACACTAACTCGACTGTAGTCCCGAGCTCGATCTCCCCGAGACGCAACGGACTCGTGCCATCACATTGTTACAAGTATTCTCGTACACCGTGTACATCCGTGTACGCGTGTCGCGTGTGTTTGTATCGTTCATATATAATTCACAAAGTAACCGTTAACAGTAACAATAACGACAACAGTGATCGCGATACAAGTGATCTCGACATACCGGTAGTAGTAATGAGCGAACGAAAACGCCAGCGACGATGCGCGATCGGTGTCGTCGTCCGGACGACGGGTAGCGCATGCCTCCATTCTTCTCGGCGCGCGACAATTACAAAGTTCGCTAACGGTTGCGCACACCCTGTAGACGCTTGACAATCGTGACACGACGTTCTAAGCGCATCTGTCATCCTCGGCCCTGCCCCGCGTCCCGGCCGATAGTCCGTCACGTCATTTCTCTCTGTCGTTCCTCAATTATTTCCTCGCACTACGCACAATCGGCGGACAAAGCGCGGCGCGCTCGCTGAAATTGGTATTCCAAAGGTATAAGAAAATATTTTTAATGGATCACGGTCGGCGGTGTACGTTACAAAGCAGTGAAAACATAAAGAAACAATGTCAAAATATATAGAAATAACCAGAAACTTGAATGTAACTTATTATTTTATTGAAAAACTCAACACAGTGGCACGGAACGTGTTAACCAGCAACTTCTTCCTTTAAACGACCTATCAACATTCCCTGCCGAACAAGCCAGAAGTAGCATCAGTAAATTTCGTAAATAAATTCGGCCGACCTATTAATTGCGTTTAAACAAACACTCGAATGTTATTCAATATTAACACTAGAACCACCGTACCACTCAAAACGGTTTCGATCCGTTTGTTTCGCAGTTGTTAATATTGTAAAGCACTGTAATATTCGAAATGATTCTGAAAATAAACAGTTTCACGCGAGTACTGTAACGAGTGTCCGCAGAAACCGGAAGTAATCTATTGTCTCTTATTAATTTTTTTGCATACACACCCAATCACTTCATTTTCGGTAAATATCCACAAAAGTAGTTTAGCATCCAAACGACGAATTTGTTGATCGAAACGAAATCAGGTAGTTCTAGTGTCAATTCACAAACTTCCAAAGATATTCCATCGACGTCCGAGCGAGAGGAACGCGAAGTCCGAGTTAGAGCGCCGCGAGTTCTCGGATGATCCCGTTTTAAAGTCGCGGGGAAAGGGGTTGGCGGCGCGTTACACGCGATCGCGGCGCGGGAAAAAAGGGAGGAAAAGTGTGTTACCGGCTCGCTGCGCGTTGTCCACCGACTGTAAATAACTTAAGCTTACCCAGATCCATCGAGGATTCACGGGGCCGTCGGACATCGCGCGAGGAGCTTTGTCGGCGACGACGACGACGATTCTTTGTGAACCGCTCCCTTATCGTGTCCCGTCCATTCTCCTCGTTGCCGCCGCGATGCTCCCGATTCTCGCGCGCGCGCCACGTCCCCCTTGACGAGCGCGGAACCCCTGGGAGATCCTCCCCCGCCCCCGTTTTATTAGCACACATTCGCACTATTCACAACCGCGACCCTTCCGGGCCGGTCTTATCGGCTGGCCGGGTGCCAGGGGTGTCCGGAACGGTCTGAAAATCTGAATTACGGCTCGGCTCCCATCTACAGCTCCGCCACTTGCTCGTTAGTAGTTTTGCCCGACGTGTTCGACGTCAGGGCGATCTCCGTCACGCCCACGGACGTCTGCACGGCGGCGGTCAGCGCGCTCTGCAGCGGCATGCTCTCGCTGGTCAGCTCGCAGCCGGTGTCTGGAACCAAAGGGTTTGCTCTTCTCGGTCATTTGATAAACTATTGTAGTATCGTAGTGCAGTATCTAGAATATTTAGCGTAGATTAAAGTATTGTGGGATGAATGGTTTGTGCGTGCGTAAAGGCGACCGAGTCGTATTGCGACGGACCGGCGCCGGGATGTTTGGAGAATAGTGTGACTGCGTTTAGAGAATCTCGAGTGGCTGAAAGAATGCGAGGAAGAGTGTCTGGAACTGAGCGACTGGACCGTGAGAAAAGCGTGTACGTGTAATTGCTAAACAAAAAAATCGGAACCAGTCATTTTGACTGGTACGGTAGTTCTAGTGTTAGACTTTCTGAAGTTCTGTAGAAACTAGAGTACATTTGTGGAGATTCTTATTGATTCACAGTTTTCGCATTGCTAAATTCATTTCTTTGATTTCTCAGGGAATTTGTTAGTTTTTTAAGAATTGCAAAAGGAAGACATCAAGAATGAATTAACAGGTGTGGCGTCGGGCACAGCCGACCGCGTCGCAGCTAAGAGCGACACGCCGACTTGCACTAATTTTCCTTCTAAATATACATACTGTTTTTATTTGCTGTTCTGTAAGTAGTTATATTTTTATCCCACACAATTTAGTTGGACATTCGTACCGACCAGAATCACATACTCGACACAGAGAGAATGAAATCAACGTTGACGACTGGTAGTTTAATTTCCTCTATATTTCGTTCGAAAGCTTCGTTGCACCGACAGACCGGTAGTTAACGTATTAATTCACTCCACCGAAAATAAAGTTCCGCGTTCGAAATATCAATTACCATTAACGAAAGAATCGCGCGAGCGGCGGAACAGTGGGGGGAATTAAAATCGCTCGAGTTTGTATTGCCGCTAACGCCGCGCGGTAAATATTCGAGCGCCGGAACAAAGGGGTGGGATTTTCGCAAAAAAATCAATAGGTATTCCCGAAATTGCTGTTGAGCGTCGCGGATACAATGCGCGGGAAATTGCTCGCAACTAGGTTGAAGTTACGCTGAACTCTTTTTTTCCGCCGGCTGAACACGGTGTAACAAAGCGACCGTAGACACGCGTGGCTCTAATATCGCGCGGCAAAAACTCGCGAAATCCGCGCCGGAACATTCGAAACGACCGTGTAAACACACGGATTCGAGTACGTCGAACATGAATAATCCGGCTGGCCGATGGTTCCCTCGAATTTCGCGCGACGCGGCGGTCCAAGGTCGTTTCCTCGCGCGTCGAAGCCTCGCCGATAACGCTCGCCCGGTTATCGTACGTTCGCCGCCCACTCCGCGCCGAACTCGCGGGGGAATGTGCGACGCGGATAAGTTCACGGGGTGGGTTTCAATATCCGGATGCCAGATATTACGTGGATATGAAATTTTCCGAGGACTTAAGTGGCCTGGTTAAAAATGCCCGAGCGGATCGATCCGACCGCGACAGTGTGTCTCGCCAGTCGGGCTCGCAATTTCAGGATCGCGATCCGGACGCTCCAAGGATAAGAGACCCATCCCCCAGGGACTCGGTGAACACAACAAATCCTGTGACTGGACTATCGGTCGTTTACGTTCCAACAGCGGAGCCTCGATCAGCCGATTTAACCCTTTGCCGACGAAGATTTGGAATATAGAGAACCTTCGACAGATACAGCTGAGTTCTATATCGATTGGCTAATTAACTCCTTGGCGTACTATTTAGTTTCGTTACTAAGCTCATGTATCATTTTATTATCGACGATTTGGAAGAAATGCAAGAAAATTGTCCATTCTACTTCAAGCGGAAATTTTATTTGAAGATAATACAGTGATAATTGTAAAATAGTTGTTTGCTTTGATACGTGAGTAATGAATAACATCGATTGTTGTTAAATTAGTCTAGAAATCTTCATCGCGGGTTTAACTTGTCATTGAAATAAATTGTAATTAACAGGGGTTAATATAGAAAAAGGAAACTACATGTTGATCTCTTGCTGTTTGAGTAGTTAAATCATTTGTCCGCGATTTTCTCTTCCAAATACGAACATTTTATCTCATCGAAATGTCATTCGTCCGCAAAGGGTTACGACGCAATATTTATTAATTTATTAGTTGTCCCATAAGTTCGAGCTGTCTATTTTTCTAGCATATAAAATGTTCCATCGAGTATAATATTCTGATGACTTTACTGTCACTCTGTGATTACAAAACGTAACGCGAGAAGTATTAATAGATTTACGGAAGCTGTTAATTAGTCGGCTATTGAAATTTTTAAAATTATTTTGTAACAATTTCAGTTGGTTCCGCCCCTATTGTCAAGAGAAACAGTTGCGTCAGTGGTCAGTTATAGTATAAAAGTACAATAGTTCGTTACCTGAGCAATCGACAGGGTTCATACAATCGAAAATCCAAGAAGCTTTCTGAAGCAAGTTGGTGAAATTCGACAGTACATACTTCGAAAATGCAAAGTAGAAGAACATTGTAAGACGTCGAAGGATCGGGAAACAGTGAAAAATAGCACAGCGATCGATCGAGGTCCTACTGTATTATTAACTGCACGCTAATTATCCGTTCGTTATCGAGCTAGCCGAAACGCACGGTTAATATGCAGACGCGAGAGAGGGAGAGAGAGAGAGAGAGAGAGAGAAAGGGAGAAAGTAGACACGGTAGCGGCGCGATCGAACAGAGCTCTTAACGCTAATTACAATCGACACTTTTCAACCCCCGTCCCGCGGGGGTTGGGCTCGTCCTTGTCCGCGCCGTCGGCTATCGTCAGCCGACGGAATAACAATTTTTCTTTTATTAATTCTCCGCTTCTCCTTAACCCGTTCCCCCTTGTGCTATTTGTTTTCCTTCACCCCGTGCGATTTGAAATTTTAATCATCGTCAACTTCGTTTCGGCGAACGGTGAAATGCAGGGGAACGTATCACGGAAGAAAGTAGCTCTGTACTCTCCCGGAATATCAATTCTCTCGGTTTGTTTTCAGGAACGTGCTCCGGGAGACTCTCGAATCGAATCCCGAATTAATAACGCCAGCCGAACTTCGATCGGGAAACAATTTTTCCCTGCTTCCGCCGGACGATTCTACGATCCTTCTTCTTCTTCTTCTTCTTCCTTTATGTTTCCCCTCCTTCTCGAGGATACCGCGGAGAGCCAGAGTATCGGTTACAATTAAAACGGTTTAAACTTTCCAACGATCGCCGTAGAAGTTGTACACTTTTCCGCGCAATGCTCGGCAACCGTGTTTGCTCTTCCGAACTTCGAGTCAAGTTCCGAACTAACAGTGGAAATTTTCATTTCCGCGAGCACGCGGAAACTTTAAACCGCCTTCCCGAAACCAGCTGTTCCAGTTCCGTCGCGCGCCTATCGCGGAATAATCGTTTCCCCGGGGTACGGCTAATTGCGGGACGTCCCGCCAATTCCGCGGAATGCCCCGATAATCGTCCGCGTTCTCGTGAAAATACCGCGAAACCAATCGTTCGCCGGCCCCATTCTTCGCACACTTCCGCGCCCGTTCGCCGATCAATCGCACCACGGAATCCGATTCGACGCGAACAATTCCGGCGCTCAAACTTTCGGGACCGACGAACGTTTCGCGGCGCCCCGTTGTTCGGTGAATTACCGATCGCATTCTTTTCGGTCCGATAGCTTACGTTACCTCGCCGATTATCCAGGAACATCGCGCGTTACAACGAGCGAAAACCGCGTTCGTTACAATCCAAGCTCCTGATTCTGATATTCTCGAGGGACACCATCGATTTACCAGGTCCGCGCCTCTGGAGGAGGAAAGGCTCGGGGAGATCCGTAACCGGAGGCGGCGGGATTAAGCGGGACTTCAATTTAACTTTCGCGGCGCGCGGCTCTGCGGACATTCAGACGGAAACTTTCGTATCTGTCACCGGCGCCCGCATCGTTCGCCGGTTTCGTCCGCGGATCCGATTCGGGTTCCGGTTAGAAATATGCGGGACGGGCGGTGGAGGCACTCCAAGAATTAACTTAATAATTCAGCGCGCGAGGAAGAACAATCCCGGAGCGTTATCGTTCCGGCCGTAATCCCCGGTGATTGCGCGCCGGCCGCCCGGCTGTGTAACTAGTCCCGTAATTACAATAGACAGTGGTAACGGGGTGGGGATGACGCGGGCGGACGGACGGTCGATTTCCATACGGAAATCGGAGGGAGCCGATGCGTCTGCCAACAATCGGATCCGCATTAAGTATTATCGCAGGGAAATATTTAGACCGTTCGAGCGTGGTCCCGCGTCGAACTCCGGCGAACCTCGCCTCCCTCGTTCAATCGCCCGTGAAATTTCGAAAGTCGAGCTGCATACGATCTAACCCTCGCACACAACGAACGAGCGGGGTGCGAGTAAACCTCTTTCACGAGGTCCGAGTCTCTCGGCGCAGTGGGAAATCGAAGAAATGTGAAAAATTGAAAACGCGCGTTCGTTTTTGCGTCTGTTGGAAATGGGAGGAAACGGTTTAGAAGATGGGTGGAAAATCTCGAGTGTCTCGGAGTTCTTTGGTTTACGGAATATTCGAAATAGTTCTTGAGCGTCGTGATTGTGTTGCGTGAATGGAACGAGAGTTGTTTCCGAAGGTGTACTAATTGGTTTAATTACAATTAGCGTGTCTGTTGCGAGTACAAGAGGAGGATCTTTGAAAAGATACATTGTTACGGATAAAATCAGTGGAACTGACGGTGGAATATTCGAAATGGTGGTTGTGTTCTTGAGTGTCGAACTGTGTCATCGAATCAGAATTGTTTCCGAAGGTGTACTAATTGGTTTAATTACAATCAGCGTGTTACAAGTACGCGGGGAGGATCTTTGAAAAGATGCATTGTTAAGGATAAAGCTGGACTAAACTTCGTTGTCTCTTAAGTTAACCCTTTGCACTCGGGAGGTGCTCTCAGTCACCATTTGGTTTGACATAAAACTATGAAATCTGATATTTAATATTATACCTTGTACAACGCGTCAATCTGAGAAATACTGAAATAAAATAGCTTTGTTCCTCAATATACGATTTCTCATCGAGTTAGTTTCACAAAATATCGTCTCCATCGGGAAATGTTACAATATTTCCAGCGAAGAACTTCCGAGTGCAAAGGGTTAATAGATGGATAGAAAAGAGTATTCACTCCCGCGAGTCAGAAGTTTCATCCCCCGAGGGGTGCGGATTGAATCGGAAAATACTGTTTCCCGGAGTCACTTAGTAGCTAGTTTCTAGCGTTGAAGTAGATTATTCGTCGAACTCCTTCGCAGAGCTCGTCGATGCTCGGTTCGAATCAGCTCGGCACGATCGAGCCTAATAATGCCCAGAATACGCTGACTCGATCGCAAATTACCAGGCTGCGAAACACGCCCGGTGAACTCGGCTCGCTGCCAACGCCTTGTATCTCGCGGTCCCACTTTCCGCGCGCCCCCGCCGCCTTCCCCGGCGTGGTCTTTCTTTTGTGGCCACCGGGTCGACCGATTTGTACGTCATTAGCGGGGAACAACGGGAAAACAAAACTTTCCGGGTGGCCCGGGGGCCGGTGAATCACGGGAACCCGTCAGGCCGGCCGAGTCCACTTAGCTGCCCATCCAACACCCCGGTCACGTAATAAATCAGAACCACCCCCGGATCGAGTTGACCGAAGAAGCTGGGAATTAATGGGCTCGACTCGGCCAGAATAAACAGATAAATCTGCTCGTAGAAAATTAGTATGTTTTCCGACCTTCGAAACAATTTATTCGTCGGAAGACGAACGGCAGTTCCTCATCTGCGCCCATAATTACGAAAGTGGCCCGAGTGTATTTGCTCTCGTTTCAGTTTAAAATAATGTAACGCGAAAAAACCGATGAATTCGTTTCCCCTGTATTTATCATCACTTTCGTAATTATGGGTACGTCCATCAATTTTTAGATACGTTCTTGAACGTACTAAACGAAGTGCATCGTTCGTTATCAAATCTGACATGAATATTTCCGGAATTAATGTAGACATGAGTGGAATGTCAGAATTTGAATGAGGCCTTTGAATATTTAGATGAAAGAAGAGTCGAACCAGTCTTCCTCGATTAACGTACTCAATTATGAATTTCGATCGAACGGGTACTAGAATTCGTTCAATCGGCGCGTATCGGCGGGATATTAGCGTCGGACGTAAATGTACACCGAAATAGGTCTCAGCCCCGTCGCCGGGGTATTAATTGGGAGCCATTTCGAGGCAGCGGGACAAAAGCCGCGATGGAATCCCGAATTCTTGTGCCATATTCCGTGCCTGTTATTTGTTTCTCCCTCGCGCCTCTACCCCCCCGTTCCCCGATATCATTAAAATACGCCGTTCCCCCGGTAGACAAAAGCCGGAGGATCGGGTTCTCGATACTAATTGCCTTCATTTCTTATTCTCCTGTTCATTATTTCTCCCCGAAAGCGATCGAGCCCCGGACGAAAGAATGTCGGCCGGGAGGATTCCCTTCGACTCCGCTGTCTTGTCCCGATTTGTCTGAAAGACACGAACGCTGGATCCTCGGGGTTCGCGAAGGGGAAAAAGGGAACACGGAATAACGTAGTCTCTACCATTTACTATTCTTGTTGCGCGTTCATTCTTCCTTATCTGCTCGCGGCTACGTCGATTAATTTCCGAGTGACTTCGAATTAATCGTTTTCGAGCTATATATAGTGGAGTTCATCTATCAAAATTAAGCTATAATGGAACCATGTCATCCACGACCAGCTGCACGGATAAAAATGACTACTGTAGAATCCGTGTCAGTCAAACCGACCTTTGGTTCAAAAGTGAAGAGGGGCGAGGGGACTCCTCCACTCACAACGCTCGGCTTTCGGACGTATGATCATTATTGGCGCACGAGCGTGCACTTTGCACTTTGAACCAAGGGTCAGCTAGACTAACATGGGAAGCTGGCACTCTCGTCTGATTGGTCAGATTCGGTTGTATTCACTGAGAAGCTTATCAGATCGCACAACGAGGAGTGCGGAATGATGTCCTATGACGTCACGAGTGCCAGATTCCCAGCACTGGACGGTATGAAGCTACATCGGCTAAAACGTGGAGGTACCGTTTCGCTGAAGAACCGTCGAAGACGTTACTGGGAGGTACTCACACTTAGTGATGGACGAAGTGCCCGCGCTACTGCCCTGCTTCTTGAATTTGTCCCCCATGGTCACCTTCCGCCGGATGTTCTTGTCCGGCTGGAAGAGGATGATGTACACCTTCGGCGAGTAGAGGCAGACCAGCGTCACGGAGGCGCTCAGGCTGATCGCGACGCATAGCGTGGTGATCTGGGTCTCGTGGGCGTTCCCGGTGCCGAAGTAGATCGGCACGAACGCCAGCCAGATGATGCACGTGGTGTACATGGTGAACCCGATGAACTTGCTCTCGTTGAAGTTCTCCGGTATCTTGCGCGTCTTCACCGCGTAGATCGTCGAGACGAGGATCAGTATCGCGTTGTACAGCTGCGAGAACAGGAAGCTCATGTCCTGTATGTTGCACTTGAGGATCACCTGCTTGCGGTCCGGGTAGGAGAACCTGGTGCCCGGCGGCTCGACGATCATCCACACCAACGTCAACACGATCTGCAACAAGATCGGACCGGCCGATTCGAATAACCCGTTCCTCCGGTTACTTTCGCGATTACTTTCCTATAGCCCCTCCCACTAATCCCTATTAACCCCGCCCATCAGTTCTGATTAGTCCGTTTCATTAAGTTCCTTTAACATCTACAGTTTCTTTAACTCCGTGTTTATTCTCCGTTCGCGACTCTACCAATCTATTAATTCCCATTATCTAAATCCACTGATCCCTAACTGCCACCACTTCAAGCCCCGCCCATCGTCTCTTTAACTCCGCCTACGAGTTTCTAGCTCGGCTGATGACCTCGATGCGTTTAAGAAGCACAAGGCAATTCTATCGCCAGAGCTAGATACTTGTGGAAAAGGGATATACCAAGGAACTATGGGAATTCTCGGCGTACCTGGAAGGCGATCAGCGCAGCGGCGATGCACATCTGGGAGGTAGGACTGATGTACCTAGGCCTGACGGCCGATCTCGAGGCGGAGTCGAAGATCCTCGCGATCCGACTGGTCTTGGTGAGCAGGGCACCGTAAACGGCGCTGAAGCTGACGCCCACCCCTAACCTCTGCAGGATGCAGGTGACCGTGGTGGGAGTCATCAACAAGAGGAACGTGTTCAGGTAGCAGACGAGCACTCCGGCCAGCAGAATAGTCGTCAGCTCGCGTCCGGACGCCTTGACGAGCGGCGTGTCCCGGTGGTGGAACAGGAGACACGCGACCGCCAGGGTGGCCACGATGCCAAGGCACGATATCACCGCCGGAACGATCGCGAACGCGCTGTCCCACCTGTGGTATTAATGGAAAACAATTATGTTTCCTTTGGAAAAAAAACATAGGAATAGTTAACCCTTTCCACTCGAGAGGTGACTCTCACCGCTTGATTTAATACAACGAAACTATGAACTTGAATATTTAGTATTTTGAATTAAAGTTTGCGTTGCTATGTGAAATATTTAAATAAAATAGCTTCGTTCCTTAATTTATCTGTGAATCACCGTTAAATTAGTTTTGAACAATGTTGTCCGTGTCTCGTCGGAAAATGTTGAATATTTCCAGTGGAAATCTTTCGAGTAAAGAGTTAATCGAATAACATACAAATACAAACTCTCTTCCAACGCGACTCCCACGCATTCTTCTCACTCACACTCCAACAAATTCTCAATCGCACCCTACTCTCACCACCACTCGTCATCAACCCTTGTGCCTGGTCTCCATCTCCTTTCTATTTTACGGCCGTCTTCCTGTCTTTCGGAACACTCGCTGTCTTAACACATTGCCAGCCGCCAACTTCTCTTTGCCAAGCGTTATCGACCGCTGTCACGTACACGTGACTTATTTTCGCCAACGATGATGCGTCATATCGACGTTTGTGTAGGTAGACATATCATTGCAACTATGTTGCGAACAATTGCGTAAATATCACCGAGTAGTAGAACCTGCGCGAATCTCGCCGGCGGCAGCGTAATGGCGACGCGAGAAATGAGCGGCCGGCAAAGTGTTAACCCTTTCGCGACGGCGCACCTGTATTATTCTTCGCTACTTTCCGCAACAGTGCGACTGACCATACTTCGCCACCAATGTATTTATAGCTTTACTTTTAGTTCGCCATTGAAATAAAATAATAATATAAAAAAACCAATAAGTGACTGCCGTATCTAGACGGCGTCAGCCTCTGTGGACCAAAAAGTGGCTGCCGTATATGCACGGCGTCAGCCGCTGCGATGCACCACGGCACCCGTCGCGAAAGGGTTGAAACTACGATACCACACACCTGATGTGGTTGATCGGCAACTGGTAGCAGCCCCTCTTGTCGTCGTGCGGCCAGTAGCCCGCCTTGCACTCCACGCAGGTGTACTCGTCGTAGACGTACTCGTACTCCTCGCACTGGTCGCACACCCAGCAACAAGTGTCACCCTGTTGCTTCTTTATCATACCTGGCTCGCAGGGCAACGAGCACGCGGAGATCGGTATGTCCTTCGTGCCCCTGGCCCACACCAGGTCCTCCGTGCTGATGTCCAGGGAGTTGAACCACTTGCCCACCACCTGGCGGAATTTGTTGTTAGTCACCCCTTACTGCCTCGTGTCTCGTTCATTCGTTCTGCTTCGATGAGCTTGTGCGTTGCTATGTTGATTGAAAGTATCGAGCAACTTAGTTTTGCGGTAGGCAATTAGGAAGTTTCAAGGTTCTTATGTTCTAAATTCTCTTTGGTTTCACTTGTGTCACTCTGATAAAGTTATCAATTTATAGATGATTCGATATCCGAACATAGGTATTTCGAGAAGATAAGTAGACTCTGCGTGTGTTAAAGGTGAAGGAATTATATTATTATATAATGGGATGTTGATAAGGAACAGGATGATCAGAGTACGATCGCGATATTGAGTCCGTGCATTCGGGGTCGAATATATCGCCCGGAGCTGACGAGACATTTCGTTTCCAGCGGACGCCGGAGCGAAAAGTGATTCGGCGTGTTGCAACGTTAAAGTACCAGCGTTTCAAAATTTCCCGATCAATCAACGTTCCTTCTGGCCGATTGTAATTTTGAGGGGAGTATCGATCGGGATGGTAATTCTAGTCCAATTCCCATTGGCTAGATATCGAGAGGGAGTACTCGTCGAAACGCTACGAAACTGTAACTTCAGGTGGCACTCGATGTCAGCTACACGTCCGCTCCCGCGAGAATTGTTTTTCGACGCGAAACACTTATAAACTTCAAGCGTCTCTCGCCGGGCGCGAGAAAATCGGATTGTTTGCTTGATCTCGATGCCACTTCGAATTTGTCAATTTCCTTTTTCCGTTTTTCCGCGCTGCGAGAATATACGCGTCGAACAATCTCGAACGAGCGCATTCGAAGCGAACAGTTGACGCTCGCGAAAATCGGCACTCCGGTCTCGCGTCGCGTTTCCCGTAACAATCCGACGCCGCGACTCGTCCTTGCCATTATTTCATCAATTCCTAATAACAAAAACTAACAGAAACAAGCACGAAACTGCCGCAGATGCGCCGGCG